GTTTTCTTGATGGTAAGGTGTGACCCACACAAAAGGTTATAGTCTTTGATCTTATCAGCAGTGCTTCACTTTTCCTCTTCACTTTCCCCAAGCAAGGGTTATATCATCTGCATATTGCAGATTGTTAACGAGTTTTCCTTCAATACTGATGCTACGTTCTTCTCTGTATAACTCAACTTCTAGGATTATTTGCTCAGCACATAGATTGAAAAAGTGTGGTGAAAAAATACAATCCTGATACACACTTTCCCTGATTTTAAATCAAGCAGTATCCTCTTTTTCTATTCAAATTACTGCCTCTTGGCCTATGTACAGTTTCCTCATGAGCACAATTAAGTGTTCTCGAACTCCCCTTTACCCTAGTGTTATCCATAATTGGTTATGTTCCACGGTCATATGCCTTTACATTGTCAACAATACATAGTCAACATCTTTCTATTGTTCTCTGCCTTCAGCCAAGATGCATCTGACATCAGCAATGTTTCCCATTGCACATCTTCTTCTGACACTAGCTTGAGTTTCTAACAATTTCCTGTCCATGTATTGGTATAATTACATTATCATATTCTTCAGCAAAATTTTGCTTGCGTGTTGTGTTATGTTAGCAATATTGTTTTGATGATTTCTGCATTCTGTTGGATCATCATTCTTTGCAATGGGCATAAACAATAACCTCTTCAATTATATTCTATTTTGGAATGGATATACTTATGGTCAGGTAATGTCTTCTAAATATCTTGCCTTTGAGGAGGATATAAAGTTTAATTAAAAAAAAGGTGTGGAGAAGGAGGGGCAATCTCCTCCTGTACTAATCAGATTCAATTTGATGGTACACAAAAAACAAAAACAAAAACAAAAAAAGTGTACACTAACAATAACAGCCTAGTTTAAATTAGGAAGGGTGTGTGTCAAGGTTCGATCCTTTCATCATACTTATTCAATCAGTCATTATAATTTGTTATGCTTATTTATATGCAGTAGTTTGCTTTTCTGCTTTGACATTATTATTAGTACATAAACATTAAGGATTACTCGAAGGAAATGGCCATTAACCTAAGGAGTGAGATCTGAGCCTAGAGCAACTATTCATCTGTGGAAAATCAGAGATAAAATTTATCTAAATCTAGCTAAGAGTAAACATATTTGTATTCTGATTTAAAGCTTTTTCATTTAGGTGTTTTTTGTTTGTTTTTAATGTATCTTGCATTACTTCCACAAAGTTTGTGGTTTTAGGATCAAATGGAATAAATACATAGGGAACAGAAACTTTCTTTGCCTTTACTAACTTCTTTCTACTTTGAAGGTTTCCATTTTTTTTTAAATTTTTTTCCCCCTTTCAAACATGTACCATCAAATTGGATCCGACTGGCACAGGAGGAGATTGCCCCTCCGTCTCCAGTAGAGCATTCGATGGATTAGAACCTTACAGCATCAGGATTGGAGTGCAGCTTGGCCACCAGAGTTCCCTACTCTAAAGTTTTTAAAGAGACTTTTGGTTGTCAGAGAGTCCAGTTCCCAGGAAATTTATTCAAAGCTTAATTATAATTAAATTGGTAGTACTCAATATCCTCTTGTAATTAATAACAAACTAGCTCAAAAAATAAATTGTAGTATTAGAGAAGAGTATTGAATATCTCATGGACTGTCAAAAGGATAAGTATAATCAAGTCATTCCATAAAGGCAAGGATAGTGAAGCTTCCTTTCACATACTTTTGACATGTTGTCGGAGGAGGATATCATAGTGGGGAAAGTAGAGTTTCAAAAAAAGAGAGGAAATCTCTCAAGGAAATAGGTCTACACAGTAACTGCAACAATAGACTTAAGCAAGGAGGAGATTGCGAGAATGGCAAAGCATAAGGCAAGGTTATCAGTCATGATTGCTATCAGTCATGATTGATTGGATGGAACTTCACAAGAGACCTGTAAATACTGTGCTCCTTTCAAAAAGGAGACCAAGGCACCAACAATTACTTTTAAATGAATTTAAAAATGTAAGAGATCAGGAAAGACATATTAATAGAAACAGACCAACTAAAACATAAAAAGAATGCTCGTATGCTATGAAGATTGTAACCAATGTCACCAAATAAGTTATGTAGAAATTGTTGAACTTCTAAAAATAACAGGTCCTCTTCCTCATTCAAACTGAAAGTCTATGAATAAGAAAGACTACAGAATTAATTTTTTTGAATTGTGATGATGGTGAAGAATATTGACTATATTTTAGTCTGTCAAAAAAATAAACAAATCACTCCTAGATGAAGTGTAGCCAGAGTGCTCCTTAGAAACGAAACAGTGACATTTTATTTCATGTACAATATTTGTTATTAGGAGGGGCCAACCTTGAAGAAAGATATCATACATGGAAATGTAGAGTCAGCACAAGAAAAGAAGACCCTCAATGAGAAGGATTGACACAGTGATTTCAACAAAGGGCTTGCAGTAGAGATGGTGAGATTGGCACAGATCCAAGCAAGGTTTCATTCTGTCATACAAAGGGTCACTAGGAGTCACAGATGGCTCCTACCAACAACAATGGCTAATGTTTAAATCCACTGGCAGGAAAAAGATAAGGCCTACCTTCTCCTCTTGTAAAAGATTTACAGCTCAGAAGCCCAAAGGAGAGTTGCCATGTCATCTCTACAGCTGTAGGCTTGATTTAGTTTGAATAATGGCTAATGATCTCCAGCATCTTTTCATGGTTTTGTTTTGTTTTTGCCACCTGAACGTTCTGTTCAGGAAGTGTCTGTTTATGACCCTTGCTCAGTTTAAAAGTGGATTATTTTTCTTTCTGTTATCCAGTTGTTAAAATTGTCTCTATACTGTTAGAGATTAAGCTTTTGTCAGATATGTCATTGCCAAATATTTGTCTATATTTTGTAATTTTCTTTTTATTCTCCCGGTAAAGTCTTTTGATAAGCATACGTATTTACTTTACAAAGACTTGTTATTGTGATTTGGGTGGTACAGAACGGATTGTTTTTTCCATTCAATAAATTTTGTTTCATGACATTGACTACAATCTCCAAAATGTGACAGCACTCTTTCTATTCCATCCTTTTCCCCATTCCCACTCATCCTTCTTTCCTATTATCTACCAAACCTACATGATTATGGATTTTTTGTTGTTGTTGTTTTTGTTGTTATGTGCCATCGAGTCGCTTGCGACTCATAGCTATGTACAACAGCCCTAAACTCGGCTCTGTCCTGTGCCAATCGCACTGTCTCTGACACTCCCATCCCAATTATCCCAGTCACTGAATTAATCCACCTCATAGAGGGCCTTCCTCTCCTGCGC